GTAGTAGTTATGATTGTTGTTGATGTTGCAAATAATGGTAATAGTAATCCCTCTCCTAATTAGCTGTGAAATGGCTCATTGAGGATTCTAAATGCTACGGGAGTTCAGAGAAGAGGGGAATCGGTATTGGAATCATTCTTGAAAGCTTCATTGAAGAGGTGAAATTTGAATTGGGTCTTGAAAGATAAGGAAATAAAATTTCAATAAACTGAGGGAAGCAGAAAGGACATTCCATAGGGTGAGGAAATTGTGTGCATGCAAAGAGTGCAGGAAATCAGAAATAACAATATAACAAATTATGTTTATGGGTTATTGAGAAGACTGTGCAAAGGATGACTATTGGGATCCAACACAAAATAAGACTGGATAGATAGAGAATCCAAATTATGGATGACTTTGAAAGTCATGCAAATGGGCTTAGCCTTCATTTCTAATGAAATAGCTGGCCATGTCATGAAAAGTGCTTCTGGAAGACTTTTCTCTCAGGGACAGGCAGCATGGTACAGTGGATAAAGGTCGAGCCTTGGAGTGAGGAAGATCATCCCTCTCAAACCACCTTTCTTCTTAACTTTCCTTTCTTGGAGAGAGCACCACTATCTTTCTAGTCACTCACATTTGAAAACTTGTAGTTATCCTTGCCTCTTCTCTCCCTAGTGACTATAACTAACCATTTTCTAAATCCTATTGACTCTATCTTTACAACATTTTTCACTTTGTCCCCTTTTCTCCATTCTCTCTTCAGTCCAAGTCCTTAACAACTCTTGCCTGGACTGATGAAGTTGCCTCCTAATTAATCTCCCTGCCTCCAGTCTCTTTCCTCTTTAATCCATCCTCCACAAGGCTGCCATATTGCTAAAGCACAGGTCTGACATGTAACTGTCTTGCTCAAGAAGCTTCAATAGTTCTTATGTCCTCTAAGATACAACACAAATTCCTCTGCTTGTCATTTGAAGCTCATCACAATGTTTTAAATTTATCTTTCTAATCTAAACTAACTTCCCATTACTCCTCCACTCTGTATCTTGGCCAAACTGGCCTACTTTGCTCCCTATAGGCAGCATTCTAGCTCTACCTCCATACCTTTGCGCAAAGTTGATCTTAGTTGTGCTTAGAATGTTCTCGCTCCTTACTTCTGCATCTTGGAATTTCTAGCCCTGTTTAGGATTCAATTCAAGGGCCACCTTCTAGATGAGGTCTTTCTTGAACCCCCTATTAACATTGGGTGTTAACTGTTTAAACTTCCATTTCTTAGTTTTTCCCACTCCCAAAATTAATATATAATTATACGTATGCTATTTATATATGTATACATATATGTATATGTATTTATGTATATGCTAGAGAAGGAAATGGCAAACCACTCCAATATCTTTGCCAAGAAAACCCCAAATGGGGTCATATAGAGACAGACATGATTGAAATGACTGAACAACAAAATGTGTGTGTGTGTGTGTGTGTGTGTGTGTAGTGTTTGCTTATTTATGTAGTTATCTCCTAATCATAAGTAAGCTTCTTGAAGGCAGAGACCATTCCTTTTTGGCCTTTGTATCCCAGACCCTTGCATAGAGCTAGGCTTCTAGGAACATAGTAAGCACTAAATAAATGCTTGTAGAGTTAAATTGAATTGTGGAATTTAAGTCCTACCCCTGACACATACTACATATATATGTGTATATACATGCATATATGTATGCATGTGGATATGTGTGTATGTGGATGTATATATGTACATATATGTATATATACATATATACCTATATACATATATGTGTCCACATACATACATATATGACCATGGACAAATCATTTAACCTTTCAGTGCCTCAGGTAACTTAACTAAGATTTTTAAAATTGCTAATCTGTGTTTGTGGATTGTTTCCATACCTGGAACACCCAGATCTGAACAACCAAAGTCTGACAGGATTAAAGTTAGGGAGGACAGTTAGAAAACTGTTACATTAATCTAGGACTAGACTGAGATGAAAAAAGTCAGAGTGAAAAGGGATTGATATATATATATATATATATATATATATATATATATATATATATACATATATATATATGAGAATATTTTATTTTTTCCCAATTACATGTAAAAACAATTTTTAATATTCATTTAAAAATTTTTTTGAGTTCCAAATATTCTCCCTGTCTTCCCTCTCCCCTCCTTGAGTTAGTAAGCAATTTGATATACGTGTGCAGTCATGCAAAACATATTTCCACATTAGCCATGTTGTGAAAGAAAACACAGACCAAGAAAAAAAAATGAAAAAATAGAGAAAGTAAAAAATAGTATGTTTCTATCTGCATTCAGACTCCATTAGTTCTTTCTCTGGAGGTGGATTGCATTTACCATCATGAGTTCTTTGGAATTGGCTTGGATCATTGTATTACTGAAAATAACTAAGTCATTCACAGTTGATTGTCATACAGTATTGCTGTTGCTGTGTACAATGTTCCAACCTGGTTCTGCTCATCTCATTCTGCATCAGTTCATATAAGTCCTTCCATTCTGAAATCATCCTGCTTGGCATTTCTTAGAGCCCAACAATATTCCATTACAAGGGACTGATATATTTTGAAAAACTATTTTTAAAAAGATTTAGTGATAATCTGTATCTAAGGGATAAAAGAGAGGACTAAGTCACAGAATATCTCAAGTCTGAGATATTTGGAGAAAAGTGACGCCACTGACAAAAAAGTTGGAAAGGAAACCTACACAGGGGAAACAAATGATGGGTTTGGTTTTAGACATTTTGAGTTGATGGTAGGACATTAAACTAAAAATAGTTAGTAGGTCATTAAAGACACAGAATGAGGATAAAGGACAGCATTGGAGAGAGTAATCGTTAAAGCCATGAGAATGAGTGAATTCCCCAAGAGTATACAGAGTGAAAAAGTCCAAGAATGGACCCTTAGGAAATACTTATAGTTAGGTTCCAGGAAGAAAAATAGGAGCCAATGAATTTTTAAAAAGAAAATCATCAGAGAAAGAACTGGAATTGTTTAGTGTTACAGATGCCAAGAAATGAGAAAGTTTCAAGAAGGAAGGAATACTCAAAAAGAACGAGAGCAGAGAAATATTTGTGAAATATTTCTCAGCTCTTTCTTTCATGTCAGCCGTAGTTTCTATTCCATTCTGCTCCTCCCAACCTCTCTATCAAGGGCAAGGGGGCATTGCTCCCTTAAGACAGATATTTCCAGCCAGGGCAAAGCAGAGAATTGAGATATTTCTCTGAAAAATTCAGGTAAGAATTCAATTTTGTCTTCAATTATTTGGGCTAATTCCAGAAGACTAAGTTGCTAAAGATAGCACTTTAAATGACCATGCCACTCTTCTGCTCAAGAAGTTCCAGTAACTTCCAATTGTCTCTTGGACAATGACCACTCTGGCTCCACCCTATCTTTTCAGGCTGATTTCTCATTTTTCTTTAAAATATCTGAAGAATTACACTTGCAAATCACCCAAAGGGCAATGGAGAGATACATGGACATGAATAAGCTGCTACATATTACCAATGAAGAATTGTGAAGAAAAAAAAACAGCATAAATGCTATTACCAAAGAAATGTATGACTGGAAAAGGTGAACTGGACAGGTAGGAATAGCTGGAAAGAGCCAATGGACAGCCTGTGGTATACACTGTACTGCTACCCACACAATGTTTAGGGATCTAAAGGAAGGCACTAAGAACCTTAAAATGGCCCCCTGTGCAGAATTTATAAGACATGGGCTAGAATAGACAAGCATCTTTGCTGAAGTGCTCATCCACATCAGTGACTTCACAAATCCATAGGATCTCAGTTTTAGAGCTGGAAAGGACCTATTCCACCTCCCTCATTTTACAGATGAGGAAACAAAAGCAGAACAAGGTTGAATGAGTTGACTAGCATTACAAGGGAGAAATTGGAAGAGCCAGCATCTCTGGATTCAAACCCAGGCCTCTGATTCCAAATTCAGTACTCTTTTCACTGAGCCATGTGGCTTCAGTTGTAAAATGTAAGTTCAGTTCATTTCCTGATAGGGTCTTTGCTACCTCTTCGTCCCTAACCTCTCCCCTGCCCCCCACTGCAAGCACGACCTTGTCAAAAAAAACTATAAAGCTCCTCCTTGGCCCCAAGCTGAGTTTTTAATGCAATTGGCTCTCAGTGCCCTTCAGGTCAGAGTTGGGTAAATTGACATGGTTGGGAGTCAACAGCTTGGAAGAAAGTCATCAATGGCAACCTGAGTCCTCATAGTTTGACGTTCCCCTCCATGGATACAACCCTTTTCTTTGCTCGGGGATCTGTAAGGGTCCATTCATGGGCACACTTGTGGAAGATTTAGACAGGGAGGAGTTTTTGTTATTGGCGGTAGTGGTGGCTTAGTGTTTTGTTTTGTTTTGTTTTTCTAAAAGTGAATAAGTGAATAACCTCCCTGTCAAACAGGCCTCTGGTGAATTCCAGGCCACTCTGGGGGCCAGCTGCTCCTCCCACCCCAAGCTCCCACCCCAAATGAGCAGCAGCTGTTCGTTTCCTCTTAGCCAGGGTGGAGGAAGCTGGGAATCCAATTACTTTTCTCTGGGAGCGCTATCCAACCCTCTAGCTTCCGAGAACGGGAACAGCACTGGGAAGCGGTGGGGGGTGGCGGCTAGATTAGAGTAGATTGTAGAAATAACAGCTCTTCCCTGTCTCATTTCCTTCCCAGCCCTATCGCTGCCAGGTCTGGAGCCTTCACCCCCAAGCTGCTGCAGCTGCATTCATGCCAGAGGCTCCGCTCCGCGGTTAGTTGAATGGTCTTACCAGCGCTGCCTGGACTATTTGTCCTTCCGCCGGGGCTGAACTCTACTATCAGCGGGAGTGACGCCCAGACCTCTGGCGTCGGTGAAGCTGAGGTGGGAGTGAGTGACAGGAGATTAGCTGGAGGGTTCCCCCCCTCCTCCAGCCGAGATCCGTCAGTCTTAGAGCAACCCTACAGAACGGACTCTAAGCCAATACACGGGGTCGACCGGCACTCACCTTTAACTCTTTCTACTTCACATTCTCTGTCTCACAAGGTTTTCTGTTCAGGCTGCATAGACCGGGGCCCGCGACCCCAAACTGTTGCTCCAGTTAAGCAAGATTGAAATGCAAAGGTTGAGAAGGAAGAGGGAGAAGGAAAAACAAGAGGAGGAGGAAGAAGAAGGAAGCGAAGAAGGAAGAAGAGTAAGAAGAAGAAAAAGAAGAGGAAGAGGAGGAGGAGGAAGAGGAAGAAGAACTAGTTTTGAAATAGTACTCCAATTATTCAATGGGTTTGTGGTCTTGTCTGGGGAGAGGGAGGAAGAAAGAGGAAGGGTTATATGAGTGCAGGTCAAACTCCTTCCACACATTCTCATCCTGTACCATTCTTGTCCAAGCTTTTATTTTTTTAATAGCAAAAATTATGGTCAGAGGCAAAAAGTCAACCACATTGTATCTTCCTAAACACCCTTCAAGAACAGTATAGAGATTTGGAAACTGCATCTCCATACATTCTTTAGAGACAATAAAGGCCTCAGAAATAACTTCAGGAGTTTCTTTCTCAGCTCATGTCCCTAGTTCATTCACTGTATTGAATAAATCATTTATTTTCTATACAAGAATAATAATAACAATAGATAGTTTTCATATGACACTTTAAGGTTTGCAAAGCATTTGACATCATTTGAATCTCACAACAACCCTTGGAGGACATTTCTTTAGATCCCTAAACATTGTGTGGGTAGCAGTAGAGTGTATACCACAGGCTGTCCACAGGCTCTTTCCAGTTATTTCTACCTGTTCAGTTCACCTTTTCCAGTCATATTTCTTTGGTAATATCATTTATGCTATGTTTTTTTTTTTTCATGCTGACAGATTCTCATGGGGAAAGACTTCACAGCCTATCACCTGCTTGAATACCAGTCTTTGCTCCATGATCTCTAGGTAGGGAAATTCATTCCCTCCCAAGGCTGTCTATTCTACTTTTGGATGACTTTTAATTATCAAGGAAACTTTCCTTTCATTAACCCTCGATTTGATTGAACCTTTGCAACTTCCACTCATTGCTATTAGTGCTGGCTTTCAGAGGCCAAGCAGAATATGTCTAATCCCTCTTCCATGTAACCACCTTTAAAGTTTTTTAAAAGCATTAACTGCCCCACAAAATCTTTTCTTCTAGAGGGCAAACTTCCCCATTTCCTTCAGCTAGGCCTCATTTGTCATGAGCTTGAGGCCCTTTATCATCCTGGTTGTCCTCCATTAGAAACTATTCAGTCCTTCCTAAAACGTGGCATCCACACCAGCACTCTAGGTGCAGTCTAATGCAGAGGCCCAACACCGCCCTGCTCCTGAACTTAGTACAACCTAAGATTGTATTAGCTTTCTGAGCTCGTATGTCATACCTTCTTGAATCATAAGGAACTGGTAGTTTACTCAGCTCTTTCTTCATAGCAGCTTCTATCTAGTAAGGCCTCTCCCATCTTGTATTTGTGAAATTAATTTTTGAACCCATATATGACTTTGCCTTTATCTTTATTAAATTTTGTCTTCTTAGATTCAGCCTAATGTTCTAGCCTGTCAAGATCTGTTAACATCTTGTTTTGATCTGAGAAAAGGCTACTCAATTATCCATTATGTTAGTTATCCTTTCCAGCCCTGTGTCATCTGCAAAATAGATAAGCATGCCATTTATATGTTTATTCAAGTCATTGATAAAAATGCTAAATAGGACAAGGTCAAGCATAGAAGCCTGGAGCTTGCCACTAGAGACTTCCTTCCAACTTGGCATCAAACATTAATGATTATTCTTTGAGTTCAACCATTCAACCTGCTCCCAATCCACCCAACTGTAGCTGACATCTCTCCATCTGTTCCACAGGAACAGCATGACAGTCTTTATCAAATACTTTTCTAAAATCTAGGTAAATTACAGCTACAGCATTACCTTGACCTACTACTGTAGTTACTCTTTCAAAAATCAAAATACAGTTGGTCGGGCATGACCTGTTCAAGATGGAACCATGCTTCACCCTTTGAGTGTTGTTTCCTTTTCTAAATGCTAACTAACCATCCTTTTAATAATCTGTGCTAGAATTTTTGTCAGGAATGCAAGTCAAACTCATAAACCTGCAGTTTGAAGACTCTATTTTCATCCTTTTTTAAAAAATCAGGATATTTGCCTTTTCCAGCCCTGAGGAATAATAAGAAGTAGAATTTATGTAGTGTTCTACCCATGTTATTTCATTTGATCCTCATAACCACCATGCTAGGTAGGTGCTATTATCATCTCTGTTTTACAGATGAGGAAACTGAGGATAAGAAAGGTTAAATGTCTTGTCTATGGTCACATAACTATGTATCTTACTCAGAATTTGAAGCCAGCTCTTCCTGATTTCAAGCCCAGTACTCTATCTACTCTACCATCTAGCTGCCTCTCCTATCCTCCATGATCTTTCAAAAATCACTGGCAGTGGTTCAGAAACGATATTTGCCATTCCCCCTGCCATTTTCTGGATGTAGTTTATTTGGATCTCATCAACGGCATATTACTATCTTTATATTTATCTTGGTTATCAATTCCTTATTAGCCATTTTCACACTGTCCTCTATGGTCCAAAGGTTATTCTACTTGGCTGAGAAAACAGAAGCTAAATAAATGTTGAGTAGCTTTGCCTTATCACTCCAGTACCTTTGCCAAGCAATCCCCAGATGGGGTCACAATGAAGCAGACATGACTGAAACAACTGAACAGCAACAAAACAAGCAATGAGGCAGCTAGATGACACGGTAGACATAGCCCTGGGCCTAGAGCAAGGAAGACCTGAGTTCAAATATGGCCTCAGATGTTTTCTAGCTATGTCCATGTAGGCAAGTCATTGAACTTCCATCTGCCTCAGTTTTCTGATCTGTAAAAAGAGGATAATAATAATACCATGGTTGTTGTGATGATAAAAAAGAGATGTTATTTGTAAAGTGTTTTGCAAATGTTAAGGCACTACATGTTGTTGTTGTTCAGTTGTTTTAATCATGCCCGACTCTCTGTGACTCCATTTGAGGTTTCTTGGCAAAGATACAGAATGGTTTGCCGTTTCCTTCTTCAACTCATTTTACAGATGAGGAAGATGAGGCAAATAGGGTTAAGTGACTTGGCCAGGGTCACATTGCTAGTAGATGTCTGAGGCCAGATTTGAACTCAGGAGAAGGAGTCTTCCTGACCCTAGACGCCTTCTACTGTGCCACCTAGCTGCCTCGAGGAAATGTGTAGTGTATTTTATCACATGTATGTAATACTTTATGGTTTACAATGTTTTCTACAACCAGGCAAGGCAATGGTGCTATCACATTCTTCAGAGGAGGAAGGAACAATATGTACACAGGTAAGTCAATATAAAATATGTACACAATAAAACAATTTCAGTTATCAATTGAGAGAATCAGGAAAGACCTTATATAAGAGATGACACGTGATCTGAGTCTTGAAGGAAAGGAGGGATTTCACCTACTAGAAAGAATAGTCTTCTCTAATAGTTTTTATTTCCTTATTACCACACACTCTTTATATTTCAAGGATTTATAAAATTATCAAGCATCAGGGGAGAATTACTCCTACTAACACAGACTGCAACTTGCTATGGCTGAAAAATCCATCACATTGCAGCTGGTACTCAGACAGCAGGATACAATCCGGGCTCAAAGCCTTTCCAGACTTGCCAGAGCATTTGTTTCATTGCCATATTCTTCAAGAAGCCAGGGTCACCTGTAAGGCAACAAGCATTTATAAGAGCTTGCTATATGTCAGGCATTGTGCTAAGCAATGAGGATACAAATCCAAGCAAAAAGGAAAACAGTCCCTGCTCTCAAGGAGCTAACCTTCTAACAGGGGAAGACAGGGTAGAATTCGTTCTTTAACCCCCTGAAATTTGGTCTTCATCATCATCACTTTCCTGAAACTGATATTTCCAAGGTCATTAATGACCTCTGAATCAGGTCCAGTAGTTTTTTTTTTAATCTGGTCTCTCTGACTCTCTGTATTACTTGATAACACTGACTTTTCTTTCCTTCTCAAAATCTCTCTTCCATTAGTTTCAGTGGTTCTATACAGTTTTGACTCTCCTGCCTCTCTAAATACTTCTCTTTCAGATCTCTATTTCTCTCTTTCATTGACTCCAATTACTCTAGTATTATATTATATTATGTTACATTATATTATTTGTATTATTAATCTAATAATATATAGCATTACTATGATATTATCATATATACTGTATCATATGTCATTATGTTATATTATATGGTTTTTAAAAGCTTACAATAACTGTTGAGGTAACCAATCTGAATATTATCTCCATTTTGAAAATATGGAAACTGAGGTCCAGAGAGGTTTTAAATGAGTTGCCCAAGAGTGCTCAATAAGTATTTGTGGAATTAAATCTAAAAAGCCTTGGGGAGACTGTTCTAGAGCCAAAGGGGGCCTAAAGGTAGCAACATAGGTGTTTATAAGTAAATTCACTCTCCTAGTAGATTGTTTTTGTCATTTCTTTCTGTCTCATTCTAAATGTTGAGTTATTAGCCCTCTTTTCTTCTCATTCCCTTCTTTGGAGAGCTTCTCTTTCACCAAAGACATAAGTGTAGAGTGTTATGTTTCTCAAATTGTGCTGCAAGGAATTCTGAAACACTCCAAGTTTGTTTGTTTTTGACATGTTGTTTGTTAATAGACACTAAAAATAATAATTTTAGAAGACTTACTACAGAAGCTATGCCTAAGTTTTGTTTAAACTGAAGAGTTCTACCACTGTGGAAAAGTTTGAGAACCATTGGTGTGCTGGAAAGAGCACTGGATTTTTAACTGGAGATGGTTGTTGTTCAGCCACGTCTGATTATTCATCCCCCATTTGGGGTTTTCTTGGCAAAGATACTGGTGGTTTGTCATTTCCTTCTCCAGCTCATTTTACATATAAGGAAACTGAGGCAAACAGGGTTAAGTGACTTGTCCAGGTAGCACTAACAGCTAGTAAGTGTCTGAGGCCAGATTTGAACTCACCGATATGAGTCTTCCTGACTCCAAGCCTGGCACCCCATTTATTGCGCCACCTAGGACCCAAGTTCAAATCCTGACTCTATTACTTCCTACATTTGTGACCCTGGCTAAGTCACTTATCCTCTCTAGACTTCAGTTTCTTCATCTATAAAATGAA